CGAGCTTAAGCATGCAGGACGGCAACGCGGCGACAACGGCCAAAACAAGTTCCTTCAAATAAATGATAGTAAAGAAAACTTGTCGTATATTATAATTCGTATGAATTTAATACAGTATAAGAAGTTGAAAACATTGGCTTTATGTTTGGGAAGAGTTCTACTGAAGCGAATTTTAAGTTGCACTTGTTACGGCTTCAAATGCAGGCGTTGTACAAACGACGTGAAAATCTGTGATTTGCCGTTGTAAACAGAACGACAACTACGTCTGAAACTCCCCCGGGGCTTTAATTATTTATTTCTTTTCATTGACTCATTGTATTGGTTGCCGTCGTCGTCGTGTTGCCGTCCTGCATGCTTAAGCTCCCTAATAAGGGTCAAACGGCCTCTATATTACTACTTCTGCTCCTGCAAGGTTAAACAACAGAACGGTAACATCGATATACTAGTTCAGGAACTATTTTAGCTCACATGTAAATTGATACACATTTGTTGGCAATCCTAAATTAGAAATACCTGCCTTGCCCAATACATATGTGCAAAACCAGCAATTTTTAACCTTCCCCTCCCCCTCCCCGTGCAATGTTGAATTATTTGGTTAGGTAAAAGCTTTATGAAATGCATGTCAAAAGCAACATTGCACGGGGGGCGGGGAAGGGTGGACCGGGGAAACAAAGACGGCAACATGTGTATGTGAACAGTAATACTTTAGTTTACACCGATAAGTGTCCGCGGAATTTTGCCACGATTTAAGGCCTTCATGGTTATGAAACGCTTACAGTAACAATTACAGTTACAGAGTCAATGACCAAAAGCGTCATTGGGGATGGCTGATAACTCCCCTCCCCCACCCCTGTGTCCCCCAATTATACAACAAGTTAAATATACTTGCCTGTACACGTGGTTCCATTTCCGGTGTAGCCAGACTTACAGGTACAAACAAATCCGCCACCAGTGTTTGTGCAGTTAGCATCATCGTGACAATTATCCGTGTTCAAATTACATTCATCAACGTCTGTACAGACACAATAAACACAGTGTCAGTTTAAAGCCGGTTCCAGACGAGCAAGTTTTCTATGACAAGTTTTTATGTGACAAGTTTTATTTGCCAAGTGCATGCAGGTGTGTATGTGCGACAAATTTTATATGACAAGTTTTTGGTTTTCTGACCGCCACGATAGCTATTATTACCCATTACAACAATAGATCGCTGACCAATTGGCAATTCCAGCTTTTAATTATGCACGCAGGGGGTGATGGGAAGTAAGGTATCATATTGCTGAAACATTTCAATAAAAACTACCGAAACAACCGTAATATTTCAATATTTACAAGTGTAAGCTATCATTCCGTGTTAACACGGCCGTCATTTTTATTTTTTTCGGCATAATCAGCAATATGATACCTTACTTCCTATCCTCCCCTGCGCGCATAAATTAATAGCTGGAATTTCCTATTGCATGCAAGTGCTCAGATTACTTTGTACTTTGACAAGTATTACCATTTGCGTTCAACCTTGCAGATTTGTGAATATGTTTTCATACAGTATATAGCGAATAATGGATATGTTTTTTATCCTTATGTATATCTTTCGTTCTATCTTGCAAAATAACGTACGACTGTAACATTCGAAAATATCGAAAATTGCCTATAATCTGGCGTGCACGTGAACAAAACGTTCCAGTATTCTTCCACAAACGCCAGAATTTTATGTAAACAACGTAGCACTCCATCGCCAAACCTGACACATTTATCGTTCAAACATGTAACATTTGAAACATAAACTACGCGATAAAATCGTCAAGCTTGAAGATTGGACGCAAATTGTAATAAAACAACGGCTTGCCCCCGACTGCCACAGTTAATATAAAATGAAATATATTTAGCTTACCATCGCACGTGACACCATCCCCGGTATACCCACTATTGCAAGTACAAAAGTGAGTCCCTGGAAGGTTGGTGCATGTCGCAGCTGCATGGCAAGTACCAGTGTTTGCACACTCATTGATATCTGAAACAAGTTGAATATAACATTATTTATAATATAGTTATCCAATGTATGTGAGATGTCCTGCAATCCGATTGGTTGACCTACTTGCCGTACGTCGGCACATATGTGTAGGTAACGAAAGCGGAGGTTCAAAAGCTACGTTTTGAGAACCAGAAAAGAGCAAATGATTCGGCTTTTTATAGCATTAACAGGAATAATACCACAACGAAGGAACTCTCTGAAGCAATTGTATTTATAGGTTTAGTAAATAGTATAATCTAGAAACTCCTTTAAATAACAGATTGTTGAATTAATATGCAAAAAGAAGAAAAAGAAACATTATGAGGATATGAATTCTTCGGAAAAGTCGAAAGTAAAAACAAAATAAATCTGCAGCACATAAAGAAATACATAAAGAAATATTGTTCTTCCTAAAAACCCATGTAAAATTAAGAATATGCTTATATACGACTCGAACTCATAATAACTGTTAAATTTATGTAATGACTGACAAAATGGTGGCATCAGTTATGTTTGCTACCATATTAGCACTCTTCTGTTCCTGCAAGGTTCAACAACAGAAGAACGGTAACATCGCTATACTAGTTCGGGAACTATTTTGGCTCACATTTAAATTTATACACATTTGTTGGCAATTCTAAATTAGAAATACCTGCCTTGCCCAATACATATGTGGAAAACCAGCAATTCTTAACTTTCCCCTCCCCCTCCCCGTTCAATAATAAATTTAAGCAAAGCTATAAATTGCGGTTAATGGAGTGATATGTTCTAGAAGACTCCATTTGCCCGAGGGTGTTTTCAGTCTGCCAACACATCTGCGTCACAAAATGAATCCGTGCAAGGTTACGTACAAGGTCCAAGTACCTTGGCAGAACAAGGGAACCGTTTTCTAGTCCTGTTAATATTACAAAATATCAGATAAAAATCGAACTTTGGCTACTAAGCATGTGAACAACTGATGCTAACTTGAGATTAACCAATCAGAAATTATCCTGAAGGTTTTCCTTCACGTGCATACATACAATGCCCCCCTTTTGATCAAGGACTTTTGATCGCAGTTTCGACGTGCCTTGTTCATTCGCAAGACTTTAGCCAGTGCGTTAACAGCTCTGGCAAAAATTTTTAGTTTATAATTCAAGGGATAAAAACCTTGGCAAAGAAGTGAAAATTTGGGAAAAAAAACCCACCCACCTCCCAATAATCATGTACACCAATCTGCGTCTCTACAATGGCGTGTTGTAAGGACTGTTAACTAGTAAAATGGACATTCCTGTATATAGTTAGACATGTTACTCATAGATTTGTAACCCACTTATGTAAAAAATTTTTAAAAAATGCAATAAATATTTAATTACTGGCAGGGAAGTGCTGTCCGATGGACAACACTTCACCACGTGAAGCGCAATCACTGCTCATTCAGGTCGCACCACAGTTAATCCTATTTTATTAACTGTGGTCGCACTGAAGACCTGAATGAGCAGTCCTAGAGACTAGATGTGGTCAGTCAGGTTATCAGTTGCCGTGAGTTGCGGCCCGGGGTAATGTGCGGGCGGGCCGGCGTAGCTAGCGGTCCTGCTTGTCCTGCCCAGCAGAACTAAAAATTTCCCAAAATTTCCTTACTAAAATATTGCTTTATTTATCTTGAAGCTTTAAAAATTTATCATTATCATATTGTTATTTTATCTCATTTTCTCGTCTTTTTCGTTATTATTTTTTAAAACGTTTTTCGCATTATGTTATATTTACGCAATTTTATAGCTTGCTGTGTCTGTTACCTAGCAACTGCAACTCTACATTGATTTGCACCTGTGTTTGCACGCGACTCTTATTTCAGTCACAATGTCCAATCAGAGAACTAAATTTGTACCACATGACCATGGTATTTTTCAGCGAATACTATGACCTAGGCAATTTGAACCCTGGGTGTTTTACCCGGGGCCATGGTATTCGACTTCGAATACCACGCTTGAGCGGGAAATTCGAGTTTTTTAAATGTAAAGTTATCAAAAGTTGTGTTTTGAAATTAAAAGTTAATTGAATGGTATTTGTTTTCTACTTATTTTTGAAAGGTTCGGTATAATATACCATTTATAGACCTTTCACTCGGGGTATTCCACAAAAAATTACCCTGCGGGATGAAATATTTAAATTCATACAAGAAATCTTGGTTTCTGATTGGATAATTAGGTCTGCGCATGCTCAAACCGACTGTTTACAAATGCGAAGTCCTGCTCTCTCGAAATGGCAGGACTTGGCCTTGTATTGTCTTTACTTGCGAGCTTTCCGCGTGACTAAACCCACATTTTACTAATTCTGTCGAGATTACTCAAGTTATGAATATGGAAATCAACGAGTGTGGAAGCCCAATGTGATTTTGATCTAATTTCTGGCTTCTGCTATGATATTTTAGCTCACGAAATGCATGTGAACAGACTCGACTGACGATTGTGTATTTTTATAATACAATATAATGGGGAATACAAACTTCATTTGTGAAGCCTGTACGTCGTAATGTCGTATTGATATAAAGTAAGAACGCAATATTTACTGCCAGTTCATCTGCTTTGTGCATTTGAAACGAGCACTTATATGGAGTTTAATTTTAAAAATGATATATTATTGTACCAATTTGCACTGTTTATGTAGATATTTGACCGCATAGACGATATGCATAGCGTACTGAATTACATTCAGCGCCAATGTTTAGGAGGGCACTCGACAGCGAAGCTAAAACGACGACTTTAAATGGTAGTCTTTAATACTATGTTATGAATAAAACAACAACGAGGCCAAGACAAGCCACAAGAGTATACTAACATGAAGTAAAGGTCGCCTAGGCGCGAACAGCATCGCAGGCGCATGTGATCTTTACTAACAACAATAACAACTAAAAGCCACACTATGGCGTGACTACTTTTTGTCTGTCTTTCTCTACATATTGTTCCGAGAGTGTTAGTGTAAACCAATATAAATTTAAGCTATATGTAAACGTTCAATGATGTAACAAAGTCTTGCAGGTGAACGGGAGAATGGCGTTGGCGACTGGAACGTCGAGGGGCAGGTGAATCTTCGGATGCAGCGGGGGTGGAGGGTGACTGGCAGGGGCTAGGAAGACTAGTAGTGAGCTCATCAGCTTTATAAGAGTTAGACGGGGAATGTTTGTAATCAGGACCAGGGAAACAAGTGGTGTGAGATGAGGGTAAAACACAATCATCGTTGTAGGGTGGAAGGGATAACTTTTCCGGGACTCGAGGTGGACAGGGAGGCTTGGGTTCAGCAGCTGGAGTGTACTTGTGAGGTTGGTGGAGACGAGGACTTGGAGGTGGAGCAGTGAAATTGTTGGTGACAAGAAAGCACTCTGATAACTTGATGCGATATGGCGAGGATCGGAGTTGGGAACCAGCAAACTTGCGTACATTACACCACGACCCATCAATAGACCTCTGTCACGAATACGAGTATTCAGGCTTGCCGTGGCAATCGCTAGTGTTACAGGGGAGACGGCACCACCTTCTGGAAAGACGCGCAACAGTTCATCACCGAGCTCAGCAATGCATTTCTCGGCCACGGGGTTCTTGTTCACGTTCTTTACGCGACCAATCTCAACGGTAATTTTATGTCGTCGCAATTCCTCGTCGTTGGATAGGGAAGCAAATCCGGGAGCTGGATCGACTCTGATTACTGCGCATGGGCCAGATATTGGGCGTAGCTCAAGGCAGAGAAAAATGAGGCTAGCACGGAGAGTATCATGGCGTTCATTTTCTATTATGCAGGACGTGGTAAACGAAGTAGTTGTCTCGCGAACGACCAGGATGAGCTGTTTGTTTCTCTTCATTACATCGGCCGCGAATGAAAGGCCAACTGCATCAGGAGGGTCCGATGTGGACTGTTCAATCAAACAGTTGGGAATCTTCTGAAGTGAGGCACAAATGTGGCATGACTGTGAGCACCGGTCTAGGGCTTTATCAAGGTCCAATGCGTAGAAATAGCGAAGAACGACTTGTTTGAGCTGGTGTCGAGAAGGGTGGTTAAGTTTGACGTGGAGTGCCGTAAGCAGGCCGTCTATGACAGGGCGTGGGACGATGATACATTCGCGGGAGGGAGAAAAGGGCTCTTCTTTTCTAACGACCACTAGACCGTCTCTAGACAGAGAGGCAACATTGAGATAGCGCTTGACATCCTTAATATTGGTGGACTTCTTGGATGGACGGGTACCCTGCTTGAGATGAGAGTGGGCACGGCGTAGGTCGGGACATTCTTGTTGGGTTTGTAACCATGCAGAACGAGTGGTGAAGGGAAGAGTAACAGCGCCAGAGAGGACGTCATGGACGGAAATTGGGCGGACCACAGAGTCTTCAGCTTTAGAGATGAAGGAACAAATCTGACAACGAGGGTCATCACAGGGTGGTGCGTTGCGGCTTGCGAAGTCGGATGGCAGGTTGGCAGAGCCAGAAAGGTGACGGAGAGATATCTGGTATCGGCTGGCGGTGGAAAGGAAGGTGGTAACACGTGGGCTGGCGGAGAACTGGCCACGGCACAGTTTCTCGAAAGACTGGACGCAGGGTTTGCTGTCGGTCAGCACACAGGTTTGGAACTTGGACTGGATGATATAAGGAGCAAAATGTTTGATGGCAGACGCGATGGACAGTGCTTCAACTTCGCAGGGGAGCCAAGTAACTTGATGTTTTCTGGTCTTTGCGCTGAAGAAACCAGCAAGAAGTAATTTGTTGTCACGAGGGCATAGAGTGTGGCACCGAGAGCATTCATCTTCACAGAGCCGTCAGTAACAATCCAAAGTAGGTCTTCAGGTTTTGGGATCACAATGGACTTGTTGGATGAAAGTGCTTCTTGAGCGTGGTAGAAGGAGGTTGTAAGGGACTCAGACCAAACCACAGGGCTGCTTGATTGGTTGTCGGCGGTAATACTCTCGAGGGGGCGAGGATGGAAGCTGAACCTTCAATAACACGGCTGAGCATTTTGTAGGGTCCAATGAAAGCGCGAAGATCTCGGACTGTTTTTGGAGGGGTGCAGGAAGAGAGGGCTGCTATATGATGGGGAGAGGCACGAATTGAGCCGTGAGACCATATCCAGCCAAGGATGGTAGTTGAAACAGGAGAAATTATGGTTTTCTTGGTTGCGAGACGGAGATCACATTTATCTAGGGCTGTCAGGACTTTTCTCCAGTTGGATAGGAGCTCTGTAGGGGTGTTGCCACCGCAGTAGAGGTCATCAGCGATTTTGGCGACACATCCATTTTGGAGGAGGTCACCGAGGACGCGGCACATCAGCTCTTCTAATGCTGTTTCCGAGCCAGGCATTCCCATGGCACATCTGGTATAAATGCGGACGCCTTTGAAGGGTGTAGCTACACCGCAGTACTTGAGGGAGCTTTTGGCAAGAGGTATCTGATAAAACGACTGAGACAGATCAGAAACGATTATATAGCGCCAGCAGGCAATCTTGCGGAGAGTGGAATCGACGTCGGGCATTAGCGAGGGTTGGGGTTTACTGTATCTGCCAACATCGGAGAAGGCGGTAACCAGGCGAAAGCCACCACTCTTTTTTTTGACGAGGAAGGAAGGGTTCAGGTATTCTGCAACAACGTTTAGGTCCTCTGGACGTTGAAACACCCCTGTTTGTTCAAGTTCGTCGAACTTAGTCTGCAATTGCTCTAGTTGACCGCGAGCATACTGGTGCATACGACCTTTTTGCTGGGGGGGTTGAACTGGACCCATGTTGACGACACCTTCGATGGGACCGGCGGCGCCGTTGTACCCGGGTATAACAGGATCGAATACACGATCAAACTCCTTCAAGAGAGAGAGTGTCGCGCTTCTCGTCAGGTGAGAAAATGCCGTCAGGATCTACGGAAACTTGCTCTGAATGATATCCAGGAGTGTGGAGTGGTAGGGGTAGGGGTGGGGGTCCAAGGTCTGGTGAGCTGGGCACTTGCGTTTGTGGAGGGGAGCTGCTTGTAACGAGGCGAGCCTGGCATATGTGGTCGTTCTTTTTAATAAAGATCGGCTCGGTGGAACAATTGACAAGTCTAAGCTTTCTGCCGACAGACTCAAGAATACCGGGTTGGGGCCATGCATGGGAGGACTTAATTGATTGACACAAAGTAGAATCGACCCGGGGCTCAACAGCAAGTTGGGTATCGGGTGGAAAGTCAATAGGGATATCAA